ACACACATACACATATACATAGATTCATTTGTTCAATACATTTATTACATTACATTACATCACACACATCACATCACATTACATTACATTACATTATGTTACATTACATTCATACCTACATACACACATACATGCATACCTACCTTGTAATACATTGAATTGCACTACATTACATGACATTGCGTTACATTACATCGCATTAAATTACATTACATTGCATTCCATGAATTACATCAATACGTACATACATACATAAATTCATACACACACATACATACATTACATTACATTACATCACATTACATTACATTTCACTACATTTCATTACATTTCATTACATCACATACATACTTACATACATACATACATGCACACATTACATTTACATACATTACATTACATTACAGTGCAACACATTTACATGCATTACATTACATTACAGTACAGTACAATACAGAACATTGCATTGCATTACATTACATACATGCATTACATGCATTACATACATACATACATACATACATACATACATACATACATACATACATACATACATACATACATACATACATACATACATACATACATATATACATTGATACATTGATACATACATACATACACACACATACATACATACATACCTACATACAATACATACATACATACATACATTACATTACATTACATTTTATTTCATTGCATTACATTACATTACATTACATTACATTACATTACATTACATACATACATACATACATACATACATTTCATACATACATACATACATACATATCTACATACATACATACATACATACATACATACATACATACATACATACATACATACATACATACATACATACATACATACACACTACATTACATTACATCACATCACATTACATTACATTACATTACATTACATACAAACATACATACAGTACATGACATTAAATTACTTACATGACATTAACATACATTACACTACACTACACTACATTACATTACATTACATGACATGACACTACATTCCATACACACATACATTACATTCCGTTACATCACATCACATGACATTACATTACATTACATACATACATGCATTACATACATTACATACATACACACATACATACATTACATACATACACACATACATACATACATACATACATACATACATTACATGCATACAGACATACATACACTACATTACATACAGACATACATACACTACATTACATTACATTACAATACATTACATTACATTGAATTGCATTACATTACATTACGTTACATTACATTACATACATACATACATTATAAGCATGCATACATACATACGTACATACAGACATACATACATACATAGATAATTACATACATACAAAATGCTTGAATTGTTCAAACCTGCTGGAGACTCAACACATTAAGGTAGAGTACTGAAGCCCCCCAAATCCCACCCCTATATAAAGACATACTTGTTTTCTGCACTAAACAAAACGCACCCCACCCCCCACAGGCCCAACATCCTTTGACATCTGCCATCTGTGGCGCATGCTCCAGAACATCCCGGTGGCTGCAGCAGAGCGCAGGCTTGCCACACAGCTCGAGCTCCACAATGCGCCCGCAGCGATAGCGGTAGCGCCGCGCCGCTTCTGCCACGGTAAAGCGCAGGCTGAAGTCAAGTGCCCGCTTCCTGCGCGCATGAACCACTGCATGTTGACCGCAGATCTGGGAACCTGTCGGATTTCCAGGGGGTGTTGCCCCAAGAAGTGATCCGGGTTCCCTCAAACAATGGGTTGCTCCCCCTATTAATAAAGCACTAATCAACTGGGTTCTCAAAACACCCCCCAATTACTGTGAGCTGAGCTCAGAACAGCTGGAGCCAAAGAAAGAATTCTGGAAATGGACGGCCCAGCGCACAGGTCAGCGAACTGTCGTTTGGAATGCGGCGCAAACAAAACAAGTGCTGTTTTGTGCCCGACCATGATTGTGATTTTGCACTTCGTAAGGCAGTTGATGAGCAAGCCATGCAGCTTTCTTGTCTGCAACTGGCAGTTGAACAACCCGCTTACAAATGTACTTGGGGATGGATGGAGCGTGGTCCCTGCACCAGGGTAAGACCAAACTTAAACTTGCGTTTGCCTCAATCTCGCGTCTCTCCCCGGTTTTCAAGCTCAAGCGATGCCTCAAACCATTTTCTGGTGTCAGCAAATCTCTGTAATTGTGGATGGCAGGAAGCCGTTTCTTTGTGAAGCGGGGCTGTGTGGGGAGATTGCCAAGAACGGTTAGGAATAGCATAGCGCGGAGGTGCCAGGAATGATTGCAGAAGAGAATGTCTCAGATACAGTAAGTAGAGGTCTTTGTGGCTGGTCCCGGTTGGCGAAAAAGGACGCGCTCTTGTGACGCCAGCGTGGAGCGCATCACAATGCAGCTATTGGGTTTTTCTCCCCAAACAGGGGGCTGTAACTTGATTAGGGCTTGCAGAAAGCCCAACCTGGGCAAAGCCATTTGCAGGGCTGGATGTCTCTAACGCCAGCCGCAACTGAATGGGGAGTGGGGAAGCAAGAAGCCATCGCACAGGGTTGGGAGCAGGGAGGCACGGGCAGGACCCAACCAGTACCAACTCTACAGCAAACGCAAGACTCAAGCTTATCTTGGACCAAACAAACAAAACGAAAGCCTAATGTTGACCCCTGATTCATAATTCCCCCTAATCAGACGGGTTCCCCTAGAAGAAAGGAATTCCCGGTAAATGCCTGGAACATTAACCCTAAAACAAGCAAAGCCAAGACCAACCGTGAACCCAACCGAAGCGGGCTTGAGGCAAGCTTCAACTTGGTGAGCTTCTTGGCCAGTAGCCAAAGCAAGGCGCCGGCGCAGCAAGTGGTCAGGGCGCATGGCCGTGACAACATGAGAACCCTCCTTGGTTCCTGGGTTCCTTCGGGCCAACTGTTGGCAATGCTCGCACGTCGGTTTGAGCAGATTTGGACTTTTCCTTGTGGTAAGCCTTCTTGGGCCGAATAGCCTCATGTCTTTGCCCTGGTTCATCTGCCATGGTCTGAAGTCAGGTTTCTGGCCAAGGGGGTGGATGGCGATAGCAAAACACAACCTCCTGCTGCAAACAAGGAAGCTTCTGTTGGTGCGTAGTGGCCATCCTCATTTTCAATTCCATTGTCAGCCAACTTGCTGTGTCAATAGTGTGCGTGATCCTGAGAGGGGATTAGGGTGTTACCCCATGATTCTCATGCGATGCGAGTCAGAACCTGTTTGTTAGAGCCTGTTCAACGGGGGGTTCCGTAATAGCGGCTCAGCCCGCCTTTGCTTTTCTTACCTGGCAAGGTTCCCAGCTATGAGCATGGCTTTTGTCGAAGGTTGACTCTGGTTCAGCTTGCGAAACTGGTTGGAGATGTTCGTATCATGGACATCACTCATATTATCAGCCACTTGTATGGTTTCTGCAACACGTACGATTCTGAGTGAAGGACCCCCGTAAACCCGTGATGGGCCGGCAGTTTTTTGGCTCGGCATGATGGGATCAAAGTTCTAGTTTTGATCACCCCATGCCTGAGGGCCGCTCAGGCAGGATTCCTACCACAGGTTCAGGCGCAGTCAGCATGCTTGCCGCGAGTCCCTCTGACAGCAACGTTATATCGAATGTCTTGTGCGAGATGAATCATCGCCTAGGCGCACCCTGAACTTGTGTGACACTGGCCTAGCCATTGGACCCATGCATTCCAACTTGGGTCCCTTCGAAGAGTTTGTACAGATCCTATGACAATCAGTCCACGACGAGCACGTGTGAGCAAAACATTCAGGCCTCAGTGCCATGCAGTGCGTTCATGAGCACGTAAAAGGATTATGACTCTTCGGAAACCAAATGCATCCGCAGCACGGCGGGCGTCTGATAAAAATCCAACGCGGTCTCCACTGCGAACGGCTGAGAAAATGATGAGGTCCTTCTCTTTGCCTGGGGCGTCATGTGCTTCATGTGATGCAGGTTCACTCTCTCAACACTATCCGCCGACAGGAGCGCCAATCGTGCCTCTCAACAAGAAGGAACACCTGGCATTAGCATCGTCCTGGCTTGCCTCTAGACGGGAGAAACAATCTCCGCAATGAAAGCCCAAGAAGCGGAGGAATCGACCGGTGCCAGTCTGCTCAGCACAAACACCAACACCATCTGCGGGCACCCCGTTCAGACCTTTCACCAGCTGAAGCCAGTTTTGAGACTGATCAAAGGGCGAAGCCTAGGGCAAAACAAGCATTTCCCTCTTGCCTCTGCTCATGTTAGTTGGTCGACACCGGGAGGAAACGTCGAGAGATCCAATCTACGCTGGGACATCAAACTGGTGATGTGTCAAGCCCCGCATGTAGACCACTTCGCGTTTGGGAGAGTCGTCGAGTCGTCCACACTGGGAATGTGCAACAGCAAACTACCACGTTTTGTTAGAACATGAGTCCCTGCATGACTGTCCGAACACCAGCTGTCCTTTCAGTGATTTCCAGCCCAGTTCCACTTCATTTGCCGGATGGGCAGCTTGCATCCCTTTCAGAACAGGGCGCGAACATGCGCAGAAAGCCATGTGGCTGATGCACTTGCTTAGGTCCAATTGAAAGAAGTGCTTCGAGGATTCAAGCTGTAGAGACAAGAAACAGATGGAAACAACATAGCAATAGAACACCGCCACCACAACCAAGGCATCGGGCAATGACAGCTTCAAGAAAGCTCTGGCCTACCCAGAACCAAATCCGCCACAATGTTACCTCAACAAATACATGGAGAACCATAAACCGACACCGTGTAATCTGCCAAATGGATGTGGGACTACCACAACCCCTTACAGCGGTGATTTTGTCTGTTGCTCAGATGCACTCTCGCCATCCTGTCGCCCGATGCCCCTCACTGCAACAAAGACTCATCGAAGAAACAAAAGCAATCCAGTATGCTCGCATCATACACCCCTGCTGGGACGAAGCAGTTGATCCCACCCACAAAATCAAAAGCACGCATTTTAAGGGGCAATCCGCCTTTCCCAACCATATTCGGTTCCTTTGGTGAACTGTCTCCTGACAGGTCAGAAAAGCAAGGATCCCTCTTCCGCGCCAGGCCTTGGAACCCGTCCACTGAGCTCACCTCGCAGCCGTCAAAGGGTGACGGCATGTGTTGCGGGCCACAAACGCTCTCGGCCTTCCTGTTTGGGCCTGTCTCCCAAAAGCTTTCGGAGGCCTGAGGTTATTTGGGATGCATGGAAGTTCTGGGGACGACTCCGGATTCGTCGTTTGCAGGCTACCAGTCTGCCAGAAAGTATGGAAGCGAACTGCAAAGCCAAAAGCACAGTCATCACCTGCACCCTAAACAATGGGCAAGAAGGCACATAAAACCGGAGACCTTCGGGCTAGCACAGCCTTTGGGCCTGTCCGGTCACTGACTAGTTGAAAGCGCTGCTTTGATTCTTTCATGCTTGTGCAAGGGTATGTCTGCCCCGGCGCCGACAAGGTTGCCACATGAGCGTGTCTTAAAAATCGGGTCCAGGTGGTCGGCTTTTCTTGATTTCATTTGAAACCATCCAAAGGGTTCAAGACCCAAATGTTGCCACAGTCCGTTCCCTAAACATCCGAACATGATGGCGAAGGACACACTTTGTTGCCGGCTGAGCCTTACGCATTGTAGTAGGCCGTACACGTGTCTTGTGTTTTCTTGAAAAACACCGAATTGCTTTCACACTTTGTCTGAACATCAATCTTTCTTTGATCCGGAAGCACCCAATTCATGCCAACTTTGGCGCACACGCCTCTGCGTTGCATTGCCTCTGCTTCAGCTCCTCCACATTGCCAAGCAAGAGGCGCTGGTGCCAGTTGACCCGTAAGTCTCCAATCAACGGGTTGGGAAGCATCCGAGCCCCAGATGAACGCTGAGATGTGGCAAGCACTGTGAGGTGGCTTCAGCCAGGCAAGGCCGTTTCGAGCTGTTTGAATGACTGCTCACTTGGAGACTGCTTTCAAATGGATGCACTTCTGCAAGGGCTACTGCCCCTTGCTTGTTCTTAGTAGGGAATACGAGAATCACCCAAGCAACCCTTGCCTGCACTCGGATCCATTCACGGTTGGTTTTATGTCTTTTAACCACATTCCCTATTGAATCTGACCCAACCCCTGGCTTTCAGCGCCCCGTCCTTCACCTGCCCCGAGTAAGGAGTGATGACGCCGACATCCTAAGGGGCAGACGCCACGCTGTGATTTGGAGCCAACTTGCAAGGCGCGCCCTGGGAAAATTACGAGGGCCGAAGGTTCCTCACGACTCCCCGTGCTATGGCTCCAAATCTGCATATGAAGCACGAATGCATTGCAAGCTGTTTGAGCGCTCGTTGTCATAGTTCAGCCCACGAAAGCAGCCGAGCACGTGCCTGGTTCTACAGGACAAAGCTTTAATAGCGTGAACTGGCTATTGATATGGACGCATACATGTACCCCGTTGCATACAGCTTTCGTTGCATTCACAAGTCCCAGTCAACTAGAAGACGGGCGGCCCGAAAGCATAAACCAATCTGCAGCGGCATTTGTAATTGTGCGTGTGAGGTGTTGGTCATGTGTCGGTCTATCCATCTAGTCTTGCATGTAAGTGGCTTTATGTGGGGCCGACAGCAGTCGTTCTCGGTGCATTGTTCTGTACATTTTATGTGGCGCCACATCATCTGTGCCACGTGTTCTGCGCGCGCGTTGCTTGCGCAATTTGTGATCTATTGTATGACCTGCGCAAGTCGTTCTCTGTCTGTGGTTCTGTGTGTGTGTGGGAAACTTGTTAAACGGTCTGCGTAACTTGTTCTGTGCGCGTTTCAGGGACCCTGCAGACTTAAAAAGGATGAACAAGCCTTAAAAGGTGCTCTTTGTGATTATCTTTGTAATTCTTCCTGTGTCTTTTTGTTTGCCTTGGGAAAAGGCATTTGGCTTTTACTCTTGAAGTTGCCGCTTTTGATCTGTGGCCGTGGACATTGAATCTCTCGATATTCGAGCTGACGCAGTGATTGTTGTTTACATTGATTTTCGAGCTGGAACCGCGAAAGTGTACTGTGTGGCCAGTTTCGCACTTGGACATTTCGAATCTCGAGCCGGAACAACAAATTGGACTTTGAGCACTGCTGGTCTCCCTTTTCTTTTCTAAGGCTTTTGCACCTTGACCGGCTGGATCCACGTGGAGGGCTACGCATCACACAACAGGTGGTCCGAAAGCAGGTGTTCGGCGCGAGTGTATCTTACTTGGCATTGGGTATCATTTTGCTGAAATAGGCGTTGCTCAAGCAATCTTGCTCCAGTGCACCTTGCTCATGTTTATCTTGTTCATGTGTGGTTTGCTCAAGCACATCTTGCCCGTGTGTATCTGAATCTTGCTCAGGTATATCTTGCTCAAGCGTATCTTGCTCCTGTGCATCTTGCTCACGCTGGGCGTGCTACTTTCGTACTTGCATGTTGCGATTTTCGGGCCGGAGCCGTGAAAGTGCACTGTGCGCACTTATACTATATTCGAGGGAACCCCAGGGGATTCGAGCAGTGGGCCACTTACTTTCAAAAGAAGGCGCGCAAGCCACGCGACAAACGTTTTGGGCCCAATTCCAGAATGGAAAAGGCAATGTTTTACTACACGTGCGCCTGTTCAACCTGCCCGGTCCACGCAGAAGGTTCGTCCTTTCGGGCAAACATGGCGCTGCGAGAGCGCTCCGACCCGCGCGAGCTCAACAGGTTCGCCGCGCGCAGCACGAATTCGCATGGCTGCCGAGCGAGAGAGCTCCGACCCGCAATTCTTAAGATATCTTATATCCAAGCAAAGGGTTCGTCCGGACTAACACAAATTCACACAACACCACCGCAAGAACGCTTTGCCCGCGCACTCCACGCCCCGGCTGTGTTCAAAAAAGAAACTAAACTAAACTCGAAAGGAAAGGTGTCAATGTAGTTGAAGCGCATCTGGTTACAATTTATCTGTGTCTTGCTAAGGTAAATCTCGCTCGTGTGCATCTTGCTCATGTACCTATATATATATATTCTGTTTGCATGCGTGTCTCGAAGCGCCCTTGAGGAAGAACCTTTGCATTGCTTCGGGAGTTGCAGACTGTAGGATGTGTGCACCTCGACCGGCCCGATCCACGAGAGGGCCACAATCCCCAGCACTGCCTTCGGTCCTACCCTGCCGCCTTGATCCTAATCTTCATTTTGGAAAGAAGTCTTTTTGCGCGAGCTCCCTTTGCAAGGTCTCTATGCAAGTTTTCCACTCAAGCTCTCTACGCAAGACCTTGACGCAAGTTCTTGGTATGCAAGTTCCTCTACTCAAGTTCTCTATGCAAGTGTTCCATCTAAGTTTCTTGATGCGAATTCCCTGCGCAAGTTTATCCAGACATGGACTGTGCAAGTTCTCTGCGTAAGCTTCGCGGTGCAAGTTTCCTACGTAAGTTTCGCAATGCAACTTCTGTACATAAGTGTCTCTAGCTCCATGCAGTTTTCTCTGCGAAAACTCTGTGCGCGCGTGTTTATCTATTCATGTTCTCTACACAAGCTCTCGATGCAATTTCTCTGCGTAAGTTCTCTCTGCAAGTTCTCTATGCAAACTTCTCTCGCAAGTTGCCGTACGCAGATTTTCTTTGCAAGTTCTTTGCATAAGCTAGCACGAGCAACCCAGCGGAAGAATCCTTTGCAATTGTTACCACAGCTCAGAAACTACCAAGCCGTTTCAAGTCTCCAAATTGCAGCGGCCGCCAAAAAGAACAGTCACAGATTGACGTCCGTGTTAGTCGGAATTGGCAACCCGCGCCTCTTTGCAAACATCTCCGGCTTTTAAGGCGTCCTGCAGGATCTGAATTACCTGCAAGCTTGGCAGTTCACATCCCACCAGCACGATGTTACTTCCTGCAAAGCAAGGGGTCTTCCAAGGCATCTGAAGCAAGCTTTGCTAGCATGCTGATACAAGGTGCCAATTGCCACTAACGATTGCCTGAACTCAGAAACAAGGCAAAAGGCGGCGGCGTGACTCTTGCGGTTCATGATGAGTCATGCCTGCTGGCCTGCTCCCATTTGTCGCTGCTTGTCCACGGTCAACGTCAAACACACGAAGTGCTTAAGCAAATCGGACATGGGTAGCGCTTGCGAAACTGCAAGAGTAAGCAGATCAAATACCCGCTGAAACCCTGGTTATCACGGTTGGCCAGGCTCGTCAGCGTTGGGCATAGCCACAAACATAGAAATGCCCTTGCAACAATGTCCTATTTACAGCAATTCAAATCCATTGGGTGTTCAGAGTTCTCGGACGGCACAAGTGTGCGTTTCGAGCGACACAGCTCAGGCCAACGTCTTCAATTTCCTAGCGGATTCAATCCAAACAGCCATCCCAGCCATCCAAACCATCCCATCCTCGACCATCCCGAGCCTGCCGTCTAAGCCAACCACCCCGACCCGGTGCAGTGGTTTGAAGCGCATTTACCCACACAAGTCACGCAAACAGAGATAAACAAACTTTTTGCCACGTGTCGCCAAAAGTCTGCTTTCTGGCTGTCCCGGACAGGGCGCATTTCTCGCTCAAGGAACAAACATGCTTCCCCGCACCACGACCGTCTTGACCATCCATGTTGACCATCCCGACTGTCCCAACAATCCCGACTATCACATCCTGACCTTTCTGTGTTTTCTGAATGGCGAGCTCTGAATTTTGCGTGTGTTCTTTTGACTTTCGGGCTACTGTTTTCTGAGTTGTGTTTGTCTGAATTGCGAGTCGATTTTCCGAAATTCGTTTCGCCCGGGTCGAGATGTTGGGCCACAGTTGTAGGGCCTACCAAGCGTGTTTTTGGACACGTAGATGGCACTAGTCTCAGCTTGCATCTATGTTCAATCAAAGTGACATGAACAATGAACAATGGACTCTCGCACTCCACGGCCTGAACAGCTTCTCCAATGTTGCGCCAGGAGGTTCCTACACGCGTCTCCTCGCAGTCCTGCAACGAGCCAAAGCCGTTGGTTGACAAAAGCTTTCATGGCGAGGCAGAAAGGTCCAGGAATACCGTCACGGGGCTGGTAGGATTGTTCCAGCAACATCTCTTGTGGCAGAAATGGTTCATTCCAGAACCATGAAGCAAGAGAAGCAAGTGTGCAGGAGATTCGATGTGCGCGGCTTGCGCTTGTTTTACTTGCAATATCTACGGAATCGATTGGACCCTTGCGGTTTCTTGGGCGCGTTTTGCAGCAAGTTGCATCCTTCATCTTGGAGGTGTCCACCAAGTGCACTGGGGATCCTGCGCCGTCAAAGTGGTCCAGCTCAAGGGTACCTACATACCCGTGGTCGTGAAGTCGTGAAAGCTATACCCTATATACATACTACTAAAAAAACTATAACACCGCTTTTTACCTGTTTCCTATCCGGGCGAATTCTTTTCAGCTCCCGGAAGCGCTGCGAAGTGTTCTTCTTCTGATAACAGCCGACAACTTGACACTGCAAGACAGCACAAAAGAACTTGACGCAGTACGAATACACGGCGATTTCGACGCTACCTTCGGTAACACCAATCAACACTACACTGCCAGAGTAACACTGCCTCAATAACACTTGCTCACTACACTGTTCAACTGTTCAACTGCACATTGCCACTCGGTCCATGCCCCTGTCAACTACGGCCGGCTAGTTGCTTCTCTGACAAGCTGACCTTGAGCTGCTGAATACCATGCTGCTGGTGACGCCCCCGGCTCCCCTTCGCTCCGAGATCCAAATGGAGTTCGTTGCCCTCACAAAGGTGGCTGGGTTTTCAGAAGTTAATACAGGAATTTCTCAAAGTTGGTTAAGTTCTTTTTGCTGCCCTGAGGCACCATCCCGCAAAAAGGTTCTTGGAAGCATTTTTGGAAATCTGATCTCCTGCAGTCAAGCGCACTCCCCGGACCGGCAGCCGCTGGGATTCTGTGACCTTTGATACCAACCGTCCCTGGCAGGGGCGGGCGCTTCAGAGAACAAATTGTCTGGAAGCCGTTCTTGGCTGACAGGTCAATTTTTTGTCAGGATCAAAAAGCTAAATAGGAAGCAGTAGTAGTAGTAGAAGAAGTAGTAGTAGTAGTAGAAGAAGTAGGAGTAGTGGTAGCGGTAGTAGTAGTAGTAGTAGTAGCAGTCCGCCGACCCCTTCTCCTCAAAGGGGGAGGCGTACGGGAAGGGCGGTTACAAGTCCAAGGCTGGCTGGAAAATGAGCATAACCGAAGATTCAACATCATCATCATCATCATCATCATCATCGGCGTGGTGGTCGTCGCCGCTGTCCTTATCTTGATTATCATGATGACTGCTGGTGATGCTGAGGATGCGTCATGATGATTATCATGTCAGTTCATCATCATCATCATCATCACGGTGCTCATCATCATCAGCTTCTTCGTCATCGTCCTTGTCTGTTTTTATATACGTTTCAAGTGTCCCGTTCGACCCGATTCGAGATGCAGAAGATGCGCGGACATGATTATCATGATGACTGCTGGTGATGCTGAGGATGCGTCATGATGATTATCATGTCAGTTCATCATCATCAGCATCATCATCACGGCGCTCATCATCATCATCTTCTTCGTCATCGTCCTTATCCTTTTTTTATATACGTTTCAAGTGTCCCGTTAGACCCGATTTGAGATGCAGAAGATGCGTGGACATGATTATCATGATGACTGCTGGTGATGCTGAGGATGCGTCATGATGATTATCATGTCAGTTCATCATCATCATCATCAGCATTATCACGATGCTTATCATCATCATCTTCTTCGTCATCGTCCATATCTTTTTTTTTATACGTTTCAAGTGTCCCGTTAGACCCGATTTGAGATGCAGAAGATGCGCGGACATGATTATCATGATGACTGCTGGTGATGCTGAGGATGCGTCATGATGATTATCATGTCAGTTGGTGTTCATCATCATTATCTTCTTCGTCATCGTCCTTATCTCTTTTTATATACGATTCAAGTGTCCCGTTAGACCCGATTTGAGATGCAGCAGATGCGTGGACATGATTATCATGATGACTGCTGGTGATGCTGAGGATGCGTCATGATGGTTATCATGTCAATTCATCATCATCATCATCAGCATCATCACGGTGTTCATCATCATCATCTTCTTCGTCATCGTCCTTATCTTTTTTTATATACGTTTCAAGTGTCCCGTTAGACCCGAATTGAGATGCAGAAGATGCGTGGACATGATTATCATGATGACTGCTGGTGATGCTGAGGATGCGTCATGATGATTACCATGTCAGTTGGTGTTCATCATCATCATCTTCTTCGTCATCGTCCTTATCTTTTTTTATATACGTTTCAAGTGTCCCGTTAGACCCGATTTGAGATGCAGAAGATGCGTGGACATGATTATCATGATGACTGCTGGTGATGCTGAGGATGCGTCATGATGATTATCATGTCAGTTCATCATCATCATCATCAGCATTATCACGATGCTTATCATCATCATCTTCTTCG